TATCATATTTGTTTTTTCCAAAATTTGCCTCATATTGATTTTTATTTAATTAGTAAATATTTTGTGTTGAAATATTTTAAATCATTTTCTTTAATTTTTGATTTGACAAAGATCATTCATAATCTGAAATGATATAATATTTTAAAGCATGAAGTTTGCTAGTGTTTAATTCTATGTCATGTTTATTGATATTCACTTTCCCTAGATATGATAAACAATTTCAAAATAGGATGCTATGCTGTACCCACAATCTTGGGTCAACTATTGAAAAGATCATGTTTTGTAGCATGGATAAGAAAATACACAGTGTCTGAGAAAATATACATTTAGAGAAAAATTTATGAATAAATAAATTTTATGTATTATTTTTCTGTGATTTTAGTGTTGTTTGAGTGGCATAATGCATAGGATCTACAACTACAATATCTTTATACCTTAATTAGTTCATCCAGCTCAGTCCTGTCTCAAAAATTCTTCATTGATATGTTTTCACTGGTAGGCTGCTGAAATGAGAGATTCTAAAATCCTGCTCAGTACTGTCTCAAACATCCTTCATTGATGTTTTCACTGATATGCTGCAGAAGAGAGAGATTCTAAAATGAGTTCAGATTCTGCACTGTAGTATAAATTTTTACAATGGACCAGAAAGAAACTGTTTTTTTTGTTTTTCTTTTTATTTTATGTAGAATTCCAAAGCCAGGAGAAAATACTCCTCCTATGACAGTTTAAAAGGGGAGAAATAACATGGAAACTAAGAAAAGTCCAGGATGCCTTACTTAAAAATTAATAATTCTCATGTACTGTGGTATCAGGGATCTTTGCAGAGCTGGTTCAGAAAGATTGGAAGACCCAGAAATTGTGTCTTCTATAAATGTCAGGGAAGCTGTCCCCAGGCAATCTCATCAACATTGTTGCTTTCACAGGATCTGAAAAGAAGATAACACCAATAGACATACTAACATCAAAACAGGAAAGCTAAAGAGGCCTCAGTCCTGGAAAACACACTACAGATACCCGAGGAAGGCAGGTAATGGGAGAAATAGTCTTCCACAGGGAACAGGATACCAATTGGTTCTCTGATACCAAGTGGTAAGGAATGAAAAATATATACATATTGGTAGCATTATATAGATTGAGAAAGTTTTACCTATATATTTAAGAATGCACATATTTGTATAAAACAACAATTAAAAGGAAGCCACTAATTTTACTGAAAGCAAATGGGGGCAGTACCTGGGAGGGGCTTAAGGGAGGAAAGGAAGAGAGGAAATGTTGCAATCATATTATATTCTACAAAATATAATATATATTTCCATATATATGGAAAAAGAAATTTTATTTCATATACTATATTTTAATCACAATTTCTCCTCCCTCAACTCTTCCCAGATCCTCACCAACTCCATGCCCTTTCTGTTTCTCATTTGGAAAGCAAAAAGGAAATCAACACAGGATGTTTTTAGAAGGAAGAAACTCCAGAAATATAAATGGACCCCACAGAAAAAAAACAACAAAACTCATTACGACATAAAATCAGAAATCATAATATACAAGGAAAATATCAGTAAAACAAAATATTTCCCAACTTAAATGAAACAAAATGTTTAAAAATTTACCACTGTGTGTGTGTGTGTGTGTGTGTGTGTGTGTGTGTGTGTGTGTGTCTGTTGAAAATCTACTCCTGGACATGAAGTCTACTCTGAAATGTGGTTAATATACACAATATGACTCCAACATAGAAAAACTAATTTTTTTCATTGCAAGTGTTGTCAGTTGAAGACAGATTTTTGGTTATGGATTAAAAAGTGGGGTATAGAACTAAATAGAAAATTATCAATAAAGGAGTCTAAAATGGCTGACAGACACTTAAGAAAGTGCTCTGCATCTTTAGCCATCAGAGAAATGCAAGTCAAAACAACTCTGAGATACTATCTCACTCCTGTCAGAATGGCTAAAACCAAAAACACCAAAGACACTTTGTGCTGGAGAGGATGTGGAGAAAGGGAAACACCCCTCCATTGCTGGGGGGAGTTTCAAATCACACAGCCACTTTGGAAATCAGTATGGAGATTACTCAGGAAAACTGGAATCAGTCTACAACAAGACCTAACAATTCCACTCTTAGGCATATACACTAAAGAAGCACATTCATACAACTAGGACATCTATGTTCAACTATGTTCATAGCAACATTATTTGTAATAGCTAGAAACTGGAAGCAGCCTAGATGCCCCTCAACTGAAGAATGCATAGAGAAAATGTGGTACATTTACACAATGGTGTCCTACTCAGTGGAAAAAAAGAAACTTTCAGACAAATTGATGGAACTAGAAGAAACCATCTTGAGTGACCAAACCCAGTCACTCAAACATGGTACTTACTGACTCATATATGGATTTTAGACACAGAACAAATGATTACCAGCATACAATACATACAGACAGAGAAGCTAGGGAACAAAGAGGACCCTAAGTGAGACATACATGTTCCCCCCCCAGAAAAGGGGAAAGGGGCAAGTTCTCTGAGATAATTGGTAGCATGGGTGGAGAGGTGAAGGAGGTAGGAGAAAGAGAAGTGTAGAAGAGGAGGAGAGAGGAGGACATGGGTGAGAAGGCAGGTTGAGTCAAGGGAAGAATAGAGGAGAGCAAGATAAGAGACACCATGGTAGAGGGAGCTATTACATGTTTAAAGAGAAATCTGGGACTAGGGATGTTTCCAGAGATCTACAAGGATGACACCAACTAACAATCTAAGCAATATTGGAGAGGCTACCTTCAATGCCCTTCCCTGATAATGAGGTTGATGACTACATATATGCCATCCTAAAGCCTTCATCTGGGAGTTGATAGAAACAGAAGCAGACACCCACAGCTTAACAACACAACTGAACTCCTGGAATCCAGTTTCCAAGTAGGCAGAGTGATGAACAATTAAGTCAAGACCAAGATGGTAAAACCACAGAAACTACTGACCTGAACAAGTGGGAGCTCATGGATCCCTGATTGATAGCTGGGAAACCAGCATAAGACTGATCCAGTCCCACTGAACGTGGGTGTCAGTGAGGAGGCCTTGGCAATCTATAGGGCCTCTGGTAGTAGATCAGTATCTATCCCTAGTATATGAAATGACTTTGGGAGTTCATTACACATAGAGGGATACTGTCTCAGCCTAGACACAAGGTGGGGATTTTAGGCCCTGCTCCAAATGATATGACAGACTCTTAAGATTCCCCATGGAAGGCCCCACCATCCCTGTTGAATCAGAAAGAGGATGCAATAGGGGTTAGTTAGTTGGGGGCAGGACATGAAGGAAGGGAGAGGAAACAAGGATTGACATGTAAAGCAAACTTGTTTCTAATTTAAATAAAAACAGAAAAAGAAAACAACAAAATGCATAAAAATGTTAGTTACTAAAATTATCTTTCATTATTTATTCAAATATGAGTGTGTTTGTATAAATGTATGTTCTCCTACTGCATGTGCAAAAATGTCCATGGCATGCAGGAGGGTGGTAGATTTCCTGAACCTGGATTTACAGGCAGTTTCTCATGTGATGTGAGTACAGGTAACTGAACTCTGGTACTCTCAAAGAGCATAACATACTCTTAGCTTATCCATCTGTCTAGCCCCTGAATTTGTTTTGTAGTTCTTTTGTTATATTCATTTTTTGTAATTTAATTACATTTTCCTCCCTTTCCTTTCTTCCCTCTAAGCCCTGGGATATGCCCCTCCCCACTCTACTGCAAATTCATGTATATATGTAGTTGCATATACTTATATATTCCAGTCAAGTCCATAAAGTGATACTTGTATATATGCTTTCAGGACTGACCATTTGGCACTGGAAATACAATTGATAATGGCTGTTTTTAAATGATTACTTGCAAAGATATACTTAAAATTTTTAGTTTGTAGAAATCAGGATTTGTAATAATGTGTCCACACACCTTTGAAATCACATTGTATTCCCTCATTTTGTATCAAATACTTGAGATAACTTACTTTATAAGGTGTAGAGGTTTCTGCAGGTTACATACCAGGACTTTGGAAAGGTTTGTCAATACAGCAGCCTAGCTTAAGTAAGAGTCAACTTTAGTGTGTGCTACATAAAGAGATATCCAAAGAGGAGTCCTCATTTCTTAAAAATAGAAATTATGAGCTGATTCTATAATTCAGGGACCACCTTGATTGAAACAAACCACAATCATGAGTCTTCAAAACACCATGTGTGAGTGTGTGTGTGTGTGTGTGTCTGTCTGTCTGTCTTTATTTGGGTGTGTAAATTCATGACAACCAGAGAATTACATCATATTCCTGTTCTAACATTCTTTACTTTATTCCTGTGAGACAGGCTGTCTTCCTGAATCTGGAGTTGTAGTGGTCTCTAAAGCGCTTCAATGACCTTCTTGCCTCTGGAACCCACGCCATTTGGATTACAAGTACATGTGGTGACACACAGTTTTTATAACAGTTGTGAAAATTTGAAATCAGATACACACAAACACACACACACAGACACACACACACACACACAAACACACACACACACACACACACACACACACACACACACACACACGGTAGATACATAGATAGGTGGTTTTTTAGGTGGATGGGTAAGAGAGTGGATGGATGGATGGATGGATGGATGGATGGATGGATGGATGGATGGATGGATGTGTCTGTACCAACTGAGGCATCTCCCTAACCCTATTCTCTTCCTCTCAGAATAATGTTACCTTCTAAATCTCCATACTTGAGTACAAAACTTTCAGAGTATTTAATTTGTGGACAATACATTTAAATCACATCTGAGTTCTACAAAATGGTGGATATCTTTAGCCTTCTAAATAAATCTTTACTTCTAAAAATGATGGCAAAGAAAATATTTCATTTGTCTGGACTTGAGCACAATTTTTTGTAAGTATCCATAGTATGAACATTAAGACTATATTATTAGGGAATTTCCTCCTGTTTTCCCTCCTTAAGGGAAGCCATTTTGTGCTCACTTCATCAGTACATACATTAAATTGGAATGATATAGAGAATATTAGCATGTCCTCTGCACAAGGATGACACCCAAATTCATGAAGTATTCCACAAAAAAAAGGTAAGCCATTTTTTTTATTTATGAATCAGGTTAAGTATTAAAAAGTGCTGAATTAGAGGAGTAGACTCAATCTAACCCTGAAACAACCAATTTCCCTCAAAAGAGATAAAGGGATAGCAATGTCAAATCAGAAGAATGTCTAGAAACCAATGTTACATGCAGATCCTGGTCACTTCACTAAGTTTACATTAGTGATCCACAGAACATCGAGCAAAACAGAATGAAATATGCAAGCTAATTCTTCTGTCACTAAAAGGCATTTGAGTTTGTGCCACCCTTGTCCATTATGAGAGGAATATCAATCATACTCAAGTCAGATTATCTCGAAGCAGTACTGAGTTAAATGTTACCTCTGAGAGTGAATAAGATGTTCTCGAGCTTAGAAAATGGTTATGCTTATAATTTTGAATATTCACAAGAGAAATTCTGATTAGTAATTAAATTTGGTATGTGTTTCCCTAATCTATTAATATTGATAAAAGTGTTTTATATTTTCTAAACTTTCACACAAATTCAGCTTAATATTTACCTCATTCAATTAGAGCCAGGATATACCAGCTACTACATATATAGGTTATTACAACTTTTACACTCAGAGGACAAAGACAGAAAAACAGAAGTCATATACCATATCTTTTAAGTAAACTTAAATTTCCTATTTTGAAGTTATCATAGTGGAGACCAGGAGTTGGCAAGATTGTAGGTCGGTTTTTCATCTAATATTTTAATCAACATTCTAACCAAAGAGAGTTGATTTGAAGGAGTAATTGGAATTTATTTTAAATCCAGTGTTAGATAATGACCATATTTATCATGTATACATATTCAGAACCTTAAGGATATTTAAATTGTGAGAGATTGAATGTTTGAAGGCTGACTTAACAACTGAAGCACACGTGTTCAATATTGTGAACTTACTGGAAAAGGTATGTGCTAATTGTGCTTATTTATAGGATTTGAAATAGTTCAACAACATATGGAAATAAATGTCTTACAAAAGAATTGTTTCTACAACATCTAAAATTATCTCATATTTTCCTAAGTATAATATCCTAAGTAGCTCATGCCTCCTGATGTAATGTGGTAACTAAGAATTTCTCAATACTTTTTATAGGAAAACAAAGAAAATAATCACACAAAATTTTTAAACACATTAAATAAATTAATGTGTACATGTGAAGAATCAGTAAGTTCTTAATAAAATTACAATTGTTGTTGTCATTGCAGTTTTCTATTCATATTTTCTAATATGTGCTATACTGCCCTGATAATAAAAAGTATTCATGAGGTTTAAATATTCTTCTACCTTGTAGAGTACTGTTTTTCTGTGTGTGCACAAGCACACACAAACACACACATGCATGCACTCTATACCTATAGATGTATGTGTTTGTTTTTTTAATTACAAGTGTAAAAACAATAGAAGCAACACAATGTACATGGTTGACACTTAGTAATAAGTTGGATTTGGTATAAGGCTTTGATTTTAAACAAAAACATAATTCAAATAAACAAAAATTATGAAAATGTAGTAGAACCATGGAATGACAGTATAAGGGAAATGAAGCCAGATCAGTGATCCAATGAAATGGAAAGCAGATTAAAGTCAGGGCAAGGGTAATCAAACAAAATAAAAGCTGGTCTAAGCCCTTCCTTCAGATGACTTCCCAGAGAAACAAATGTTGGATTGAGTTCTAGGCAATGATTTTTTTGGATTCTGTATCCATAAAAGGATGAAAGAAATTGAACTTGAAAAATGGAAAATTTAACTAGGAAATAGTTCTAAAAGATCATTCTTGCAACAGACATTGTCCTTCCAGTTTGGTTCCCATAAGACAATCAGGGAAATTGGTCTTATGCTCTTGGCTCTTACCTATGACCTGTCTTCAGCAAGGGTCTGCCACCAGAAGGTTCAATAATATTAGAGTGGGTCTCTTTAGCCTGCTGAAATTTTAGCCAGAACAGCAAGATTAGGGGGAGTGTGTTCCTAAATTTTGAAGAGGGGATGGATATAGTTTTATGACTTTATTGATCTGCAACTTTGCAGGAGAAAGTAATTGCAGCATACACTGGAGAGAGAGAGATGGAGGATCAGGAAAGGTCAAATTTCCTGTTTCAGATTTTCTTTGAGAAATTAATATAATCTGGAAATGGCCAGAGCTTACACACCCTGTTTTTTTTTTTTTTTGAAGCACTTGCGACTGGTTTTTGTCAATGAAGATATGTTTTAATTAAACTACTTTGGATATAAATTTCTTGTGTGCACAGCTGTTTCCAATTACATAATTATAGCTTACAAAGCTAACAATTGAAATCATGTTTTTTTTTCTATCGACAGAAACAGCATACTGTATAACTATGAAAATAAGCACTTGCTTTGCAGTAGTATGCAAACCATAATGGTGACTATAAGCCCTTGGCATTGAGAGAATCCATGCAGAAACATTATCATGGTCTCAGATTTGCTTTGTACCAAGCATACATTTAAATTAACAATAGGACCATGGTAGTTTGGGGAAAAATAACATTAAAATGTGTTTCTTCATTGCACTGGTTTTGGTTAACATTCCCCCATCTCTAGTGTCCCTGCAGAAGGGCTCTTGGGGACTCTAATACTCAGGTGCTATGGTGCATCTTGTACCCAGTGGAATTAGAGCTAAGGAGAACCAGTGGCCTGTGAAGCCAGGTAAGCATCAGAAGCTTAGCCCCAGGGTCTCATCTCAAAGAGCTGATAATAGTCTGTTTGTACACCTTGCCACTCTGATTTTCATTTACTTAGTTACAAAAGAAAGATTTATCAAAAGGGGCTTTGCAATTACATAAGATATCCTACTTACATTTAGTAGAAGGAATACTGTGTCAGCTTGCTTGCATAATCATATACCATTTCACGTATGTTACATTTTACTATTTCTTATATTTAACTATCAGAATCCTTACAGCACTTTTATACTGCAAGTGTTGTGATTCCTAAAAACTGAGAAAGTTACTAGGTATCCAATGTGACTGCTAGTGAGTGACAGACTTGGAACTTTCAACTCATGTAGTTGGAATTTCTTGTCAGACTTTCTTAGACTGCCAACCCCCAAATAATGACAAGGAAACTTAATTTAAAAGGCTTGGGCTTATTCCCAACTAGCTCTAATAACACATTTCTATTAATTAATGTTCTGTCACATGGCTCTATTACCTCTTCTTATCCCCATATGTTTGAGTACTACAGTGTATAGCAGGCTTCTCTCTCCAACCTAAAGTCATCCTTAGTTTTCCTCTCTCCCAGGAAGCCCTGCTTATTCTTTCCAGCCTAGATATTGGCCATTTAGCTCTTTATTAAATCAACCATAGTGGCATATTTTCACACATTGTAAACAAATATTCTGCAACAAACTGACACTTAAAACTCAGCAGCAGTGGTGACAAATGACTCGTGGGTGCTTTGTTGCTATCTTTATAGTCCAGTCCCATGTATGAGTTTACTGCTGTTTCTGTCATCAGAGTCATCTGAGGCACAGGGACTAGGACAGAAAAAGAGTAGGTACATAATGATTTTATCCTGCCCAATCTGTTGAAACTTTGGCTCTGTAAGGTGATATTTTGCTGACAATAATCTTTTTTTAGCTTTCTTTTCTTTAGTTTGAAATAATTTTATTACATCCAATTTTCATGCTAGTTTCATTGTCAGTACAATACAACAGGTGTTGTTTTACAATGTTCACTGTGACTTAACAAAAGGGTAAAACATGGTAACAGGGAAAAGTAGACAAATTCAGAGATTCATAGGATAAGAAATGGGACTCTGATCTGATTTTTTAAAAGTAGAAAAATGCTATCCACAAATTAGACTGTCTCTCTCATTTATTCCAAACTGCACATATAGACTTCACCCAATAAATAAAATGATATTGTATGCAGTAACACAAATAATGTAGGTTGTATTTAGTGAAACGTTTCCTTCATGTGCCCTGAGCTTAATCTGGTTTCAGATGTCCTGAGCTATCATAGATGGAGATTGGGAATAAAGAAGAATTTGCATGATTGGCAATATCTATTCAACAAAAAGGCATAGAGGCATTTAAATATATGATTTATTTATCCTCAGTTTTAAACTCAAGACCAGCCCCTTTAGAAAGCAGGAATTTGTCTGCCTTTTTGGGAAAACTTGTTGATGGAGTGTCCCAGGATGGGCATTAGCAAGTACTTAAGACTCAGTAAAGGGTAATGATTCTTCAGGTCAGCGATGAAAAGATGAATGACTGCAGGCATTTCACCAACCCAAATTTCTCTCTATAAGCTGATAAGTTGATATGCTGATCCTGATTAGCTCATTTAGCAAAGAATATAAGACAGAGTGGTAGGAAAAACAAGTTTTAGAAGGCAAATCCCACATTATAGAGAACAAAGTTTGGAAGTTGGCATTCTTTCTTGAATTCTGGTTTCAGAATGCAATCTTTTACACTATATTAATCAAATTGATTAAGTCATTTAGCTTATTTTTACTTGAAATTAGGATTTAAATTTAGTAGCATAAATACATGGGACTTTCCATAAAGGAATTACAGTGTTGCTTCTCAATAATATTGTTAATGGCCTGTTATCTCATGAATGAATCATCTGAGGTTTCAGGATTGTTTGTTAGAGAAAGGGTGGCACATGCCAAGACATGAGTGTAGAGGCTAGGAGGCTACTTTCTAAAGTTGATTAGCTCTCTCCACTATGTGGATGCTGGGGCATAGAATTCACATTATAAAGCTTGGAAGCACCTGTTTTCATCCATTGAGCCATTTTGTCAGCCTTTCAGATAGTTTCTAAGCCTTAGCTATTCTCACATGAATTTGGTGAGTTTTTAAGAAGATATTTAGTATTTATTTACTTACTATTATGCTGTGATTCATTAACATGTTTATAGTTATTTTTAAATAAGCCAACTCTGTATTTATAATAGAAAGTCAAACTGAGTTATATAAGAATGGTCTTTTTATATTACAATCAGGTTGACA